CCCTAAACCCTAAACAAACCCCCAAAGCCTTGCAAAACGCTGGCCTCGCCCAGGCTGCATAGCTCGGAGAGACGGCGCTGGCTCGCCGCAGCGCCTGGCAGCGATGCTTCGAGGCTTCAAAACCCTATTATAAGGGTTTAGGGTTTAGGGGTTATAAACCCTAAAGGGTTTTAGGGCTCAGGGTTTAGGGTTTAGGGGCAAAGCTCCAAACCCTATAAGCCCTAGGCCCTAAAGTAGTTCCTTCTTGGGGTTCATGTATAGAATCCTATAAGGTAATCCCAAAAAGGAACTACTATGGGGCCTATGGATAAACCCTAAAGGTTATTAGAGTTTAGGGTTTAGGGTCAAAGCTTCAAGACCCCATAAACCCTAAACCCGAAGGGGTCGACTCCTCGAAACTAGTACCTAAGCTCTGATTCGAACTTGCTGCCTCAGAGCTGCCGTGAGTGGTAGGATTCTAAACCCGAGCCACAAGCCTGGAGCCATAGACCTACTCTAAACTCAAGAGCCGCATACGTACATGTGTATATGTATATCTATATATATATATATCAGATTGTGTATATATATATATATACATATATATTTGCTGAATCATATATATATATATACACACACATACATACTTATATACATATATATATATATATATATATGTATACACATATACACAACTGTATACATACATATATATATATATGTGTTATTATGCTCGCCACTGATTCTATCAACGCCCTTAGTTGGTGTTCTACTCGCTTTTCGCTCGGCTCATGAGCAGATCGTTCAAGTGGTGGCCGGAAGATACGGTTTGGGGTTCAGGGTTTAGGTTCAGGCTTCCGGGTTTAGGTTAGGGTTTAGGGATAAGGTTTAGAACATACCATGCCTCCTGGTATCCCACTTTTCAAACCTGCTTGGAGCACAAAGCTATGTGAGCATGTTCACAAGCCCTTCAACATCAACTCCTTCAACTCAGGTGGGGGCCAGCTAGTGGGTGTACCCGTAGCCCAAAGGACTTTGGGCTACGGATGGGGGGCCGGGTCTCATGCGTAAGAGGGGATTGCCAACAAGAACTAGTTCAAGCCCCCAAGCCTTAGACCCATGTCAAACTCCTAAAGAATCCCAATATAGAAAGCTAAAGCGTTATTCGAACACTAGGCTCCATAATCCTGAACCCTGAGCTCTACGAGTATAAGCCTAGATCGCCAGAATATGTGCCTGACTAATTAGAACTGGAGTTCGGGTGTAAACTATCGTAAAATTAAGACGGGACGAGATGGGCATCGTGCCGGTTCGGGCTTAAGGCTCGGTGCGAACAGTGGTGAGCCTGATTAAGGCTAAGGGGATGTGGGATGCTTGTGACGACCCATGCCAAGAATTTCGTGGCCAGTGCGAAGCAGTCTTGGGGCACGGGCTTGGGAAATAGTTTCAGGACATCATGGGGAAGAGAATGGTCGCGATGCTCGGGTGATCATGGTTCTGCTTCTTAAGTCACAGCGCGATACGAACAATTGGCACGGCCACGAAGACTGTCTAGAGTTCATTCACCGAAGCACCGAAGGAACAGCAGGCACAGTCAACTTACCAAACAGGCGAAACCATTAATGCGGGCGGGGTGCATCTAGGTGCACCCGCCCGCAGCTAAAGTGATCTTGCCGCCGATAAAAGAGGCCGCTTTAGCCGACCTAGAAGGAGGTCATGATAAGAAAGAAAACGATAAAGAAAGCCAAATAGGTTGACAAGCAGAGGGATGCCTTGCCTAAAAGATCCCCAGCTTGCCTTGGAAGCGGCTCTACCATACATGGACGCTTTGCACGCCAAACACCCTTCCTGCTTGTCTAAATCTTGAGTTGCCCTAAACCAGCTCGCCCATGTCAGGGAGACTTCCGTAGAAGCCAACCCGAAGGGTCCAAGTAGTCCTTATTTATGGTTTTAAGTACCCAAAAAGGCCCCAAAGTCCTTAAAAAACGGGCACCTGGACCCTTAGGGCAAGGGTAGAATCAGTAGGAAGTCGTGGAGAGTAAGGGTTTGTTGACTCCAAACAGTTCCTGTATGGCTCAGAGTAAAGGGGAAAGCATACATGATGTAGGGCTTTGACTCCGGGCAGTGCAGACACTGAACAAAACCATAATTTGCAAAGTTTTTGGACATGTCAGGCCACTGGAATCCTGAAAGTGATGCGGGCTTCATGTTCCTTGTTGCTTAAGACTGGCCGGAGCAAACCTTAAGCCCCAAATGCGTGACACATGTAGACCTCGATCCGTGCACCTTTCTCGTCATGCCCCCAAAACCCTACATCCTGGACCTTGAGCACTAAGCCCCAATGTTCCCAAATGCTACGCAACTCCATAAGCCCTTCTGCACGAAACAAACCCATAGTATAAGCCCCATAAACCCTAGTACAGTTTGCACTTGAGTGGCTTTCGGGCAGTGATGTTGCAGAGTTCGAAGATCGACTATACGGCCTAAGACCTAAGAGCTTACGGCTTGTAGGGTTCAGGGCATTGTTCTACAAACTAGGGTACCGAGTTTTGGATTTCAGGGGTTAAAGTGGTAGATTCTGGTGGTCTAGGGCCTCAGAGTTGTTGTGGGGGCCAGCAGGGTAAGTTCGTCTGATTTGGGAACGATGACTCTATCTCAAGTAAGTCCTAACCCAACTCAATACCTATTCGCTCCATTGTAGTTCCTTTTTGTGGTTTACATTTAGGATCCTATCGGGTAGTCCGAAAAGGAACTACAACGGATCTTATGGGTATGGACTGGCTGTTGCAAAAGCCTTGGCCCGAACACCGTACATGTCGCAAGATCTCTAAACTAGGTTCCCTTTTTCGGTACCCAATAGAGTACGGCACCCGTATAAAGAGGACCCNNCTAAACCCTAGACCCTAAACCCCTCCATAAACCCAAGCAGGAACTAGACGGCCCAAAGGAAGCAACCCTGCAAGTAGACCAGATATCACCTCTGCTTAGCGGAAAGTGGCCGATAACTGATGGGCTAATTATGCTTCCTGACCTCGAAAAATGCAAAGCTTCCGTAATTGCAGGATTTTGGGCGAAGTTATTGCCGGATGAGAATATTGGGCGTCATAAACCCTAGGGCCCTAGCGCGCCTGCGTCAACCTCGCTTGAACTTGCGGAATCGCACATCGCATCCTCGACCTCCTCCACATGCGCCGGATCCACCGAACCGAACCTGCCATTGGCTTTAGGGTTTAGGGTTTANNTAGGGTTTAGGGTGCCCTAAACCCGACAACAGACGGCTTGATTTCATCATTAGGATCCTTCTATTTTTCTATTTGGGATCTTACGTACTTTCGGAAACTCCTAGCCGAAGAGTTTGTTTTGGTGGAGGGGAGAGTGTGTACAAGAACCGCTTGTATGTAGGGATGTATGCTTACGCCTATACATGTAGGTACGCAGCTAGGTAGGCATGTATGTACGTGTCTGTGTGCGTTTACATATATACACATGCATACAAAGCTACACATCCATCTGTCTGTCTGTCTGTCTG